TAGTCGATTTTAAAATAAACTAACTGTTTCTATCTTATTTTTTTGTTAGAATGGGCATAATCAAGAGGGCTACTGATACCCTATTGTAAAAATAATTTAATTAAGGGCTTATTTTTTGGTATTTATTATAATTTTGCTAATATCTTCCGTTTGAAAGAAGATATCAAGATGCGGTTTTCGCTGACTTTTTAAGCTTTTACTACTCTTTACTATCAGCTAAAATTACACATACTATCGTATCTAATTTTTTTGAAAAAACGCGCTGGTGTATAAATATTTTTTACCGTAAGCCCTACGGCTAATACTTTCCGAGATACAGCCGAGAGCTATTCTTAGTGGGCCACCCAGTACATTCTTACCATGTCATCCACTGGGAGTTGGATGAGTGAAATTTTACTTTTGGGGGGTGTTCCAAGCTCCTGAGCTGGCTGTGAAAATGTATATTTTTTTCACTCGATAGTTTTATACAGATACGGACGAAAAGTTATTACTCTTCAAATCAGCTAAAAAACACGGCATATAAATCACACGGCAGGCTAACTCTGCCCAGATCCCATTGTTATAAATTAAGCCGCACGCTACTGACTCAAAGCTGCCGTAACTGTATGTTGTCAATGACAAATACTACGACTGACTACGACACTGGTTAATTTCTGTTGCTGGCACCCATAATGGCGGCGTGCGCAAGGATATGCGCGTAGCGTTCCCGCCAAGGCGAGTTGGCCTGCCGTGTGATTTATACCTATGCCGTGTAAAAAATATGTAGGTGGCGCCCTCTACAAATAGGAGTCATATTGACATTAAAATCAAATTTCTCATGTCAAAAAAAAACACCCAGGCACCAATTTTCATCCAAATATTGAAATTACATCAGAAATTATTTGTAAAAAATCGAAATAAAAATAAAACTTCTACACCCTGTATCTCCGAAACTAAGTATTTTAGGATATACATTTATACAAACTTTTTTACTTATTTTTATCTGCAGAATATGCTGCCGAAGTTTCCGGGATACAGTTCGGACCACCCTGTATTATATCACCGGTTTTAAAAGTTTCCCTAACGAGCTCCCGCACATCAAAAAGCTCTTCAGACCAACAGACCAACACTTCTGTCCACCTCGGTTTAAAAAAAAACTATTCCCCTTAGTCGTCTTTTTCGTGTTCCTCCCTCACCTTTACATCTTCTCTCTCGTCCTCTTTTCTCCACCCACCACCCAATTCCCTCCACGTGTCTCCACATTTTCATCTCGGCGATGCACGTGCTTTCAAACCAGAGCACTTGTCCCTGTTTCACTCTTGAATACGGTATGAATATGTATAGGACCGTTTTTTGTTACTTGCAGCAGCGCGAAAAAGTTGCAAAAAAGAACGTACGGTAATATACAAGCGCGCCTTGTTTTCAGTACGAGCACTGGCGGTGAATAAATGAGGCAAAAAAGTCAAGTAAACTGGTTGGAACTGGTTTTCGAGTGGTGACAGATAAATTCGCTACCGGTTGAAGTAGTAAATTTTTTTCTGATAGTAGAATTGTACACTGTAAGAAATAATGTCGATTTTATCTATAATTTACGGATTTTAACCGTAGGAACTGAAATAGTAGGGGCCAAAAGAAGAGCCTATTCTACGTAAGCCTATCTAAGGATGTCACAATTTTTCAGGCGGAAATAACACAATCCACTATTGTGTAGGCAGGAACTGTTTTTCGGAACCGGGAATTTAGGTACCGCACCTCTTAGGAACCGGGATTTTCGGTACTTTCGGTACTGACTAATTTTTGTTCAACGGTGGTGCAGTTCATCAATCAGAGCGTATTTATTGAATTTTACTCTTAAATATATACTTAAATTTGATTATTAAATCTTATTTTTTACACAAATTCAACAATACTAATAACAATGTGTAATTGTGATGTGTAAAAAATAAGATTTAACAGTATAATTTATACAATTATTAAATAAAATTAAAGCCAAACATGTGAAATATTATTTATTATTTAAAGTTTTTATTTATAAATCAAATATTTAAACATCGTTTATTATAATAAAACAAGACCAACGTAATACGCCCAAAGTTTTGTAAATGGAGTAAATATAAATAGGTACTTAAATGATGGCAAAAATAAAAGACTTACATTATATTTTTAGGGCCACAAACAAAAGGAATTGTCTAATTAAAACACATATAACAAATTAAAAAAACCAAACCAAACCAAACCAAAAACATTTTGATAATCATTTATTTGATAATATTATGATTGGCGTTATGACAACGACAATATTTTTTGAGAATTTGACAATAATATGACAATGGCCGTTGGAAACTATGGAAACTACAAAAAAATTCTGATTTAACGCCATCTGGCAATAACTAGTAGCAACATCTTAACCTAAAAATTAATTGCACTACCACCTAGTGGCTAGGGCTGGAACTATTTTATTTGAGATTTCCGTGGAAACGGTGGAACCGCTTTTGCTATTTCACTTTCCCGCCCCTGACATAAACCAATTTAAATGAATTTGAGACAAAAGCCCTAAAATATTGTTAGAGATATATAACAATCGATCTCTATAACAGTAGATTGTTTGTTTACAGGTGATAATATTATATTGACGTTTTAGTAATAAAGTCGTCAGAAGTTTAAATATTTAAATTGAAATTATTTCAAAAGGAATTTTGTAAAAGAGATAACAAATTCAGAAGTGGAATAATCGTCCGATGTTCTTTTATGAGAAGTATGAGTGAACAGGATAGTGAAATAGCCCAAATCCTGTACTGGAATCAAATTTTGAAAATTTTTACCGAAGTCCAATAGAGCTGCCTATTCGTAATAATACACAGACACGACAGGGTAAGCCTGTGAATTTAAATACTGTATGGATACGATGCAGGCTATAATCGCTATAATCCAACAAAATGCCATTATACTGCAAATGATGAACGACCGTCAAAATCAACAACGGGATGTTCCAAATTATAATATTATGCCTGATTTTTCGAAATCCATTCCATTTTTCGACGGTATTGATTTGAAGAAAAGTAAATTTTGGTTAGAAAGTACAGAAAGTGCCGCACAACTCCATAACTGGCCTCCAGCATTTATGTTGGAAACTGCGTGTTCTCATTTAAGTGGATCAGCATACCATTGGTATGATTATAGAAGAGAATACTTAAATTCTTGGAGACAATTCAGATAGTTTATGATATTATGTATCATCATTATGGTAATTATGTATCATCATTATGTTAATTATGTATCATCATTATGGTAATTATGTATCATCATTATGTTAATTATGTATCATCGTTATATATGTTAATTATGTATCATCATTATGGTAATTATGTATCATCATTATGTTAATTATGTATCATCGTTATGTTAATTATGTATCATCATTATGTTAACTATGTATTATGATCCTTTTGTATCCTTCCATCCTAGCTTATTGTATTATTATGAATTTCTTATGTTCTTTATGTCATTGTTGTGTTTCTTATGTCATTACTATGTTTATTATGTCATTATTATGTTTCTAATTTTACTATAAATCTATTGTTATTTGTTATCGATCGGGGCGATCGAGTGTCAGGTTGGCCGATCTGTTAGAGATATATAACAATCGATCTCTATAACAGTAGATTGTTTGTTTACAGGTGATAATATTATATTGACGTTTTAGTAATAAAGTCGTCAGAAGTTTAAATATTTAAATTGAATTTATTTCAAAAGGAATTTCGTAAAAGAGATAACCAATATTGAATTAAAAATGCAAATATATATTAAAACATAACATAATAAATATTATAGGAACTTCAAAAGAGAAAAGAAGCGAGAACAATAAGAAATAGCATTATTTCTTATTTAGATGAGTTTGATTTCGACCGCTAGAAAGTATCAAAGGACTTTCTGACGTAACAAAAAAATAATATTTTAATTATTGTTACCTGTGATGGCTAAAAAGATGTTAACCCTAATTGGTAGTATTAATTAGAGTTTCCAGAACCGTACTAAAATATTTTCGTTCAACGATTGTGGAGTTCATCAATTAACAAGCAAGGGATGGTTCTCAAAAGTAAAACCGATAAAAAATTGAGTTTCAAATGAAAATAATATCAAATTATTAAGTCATGAGAAATTAAACATGAACACAAATAATGAACACAAGCAAAAAAAAGAAAACACATAACGTAGCTGTATCGGTACTACTGCTTGAGAGCACCAAATCCAAAATTGAGAGTAATATTCAAATTACTCTCGAATGTGTAATTAATTTCAAAGTGGATCCAGTACACGTCGCAAAAAAACTACTAGGGTCAACAACAACACGTATATTGGCAAATGATAAAACTTTAAAAACGGTAAATCAAACTGAAATTGAACAAATTCACTGCAGCTTCCCATTAACTTAAAGGTAAACTTGATATATAAAATACCTACAATAAATAGGTGAGAGAGAGAAATAACATTGCCTAACTGAGGCGAGAGTAATATTGCGAGAATTAGCGAAAAATGTACAATTCAGAGACTAAATTAATAGGCGTGATGCTGCCTGAGAGGGTTCACGGGCGTCTCTTCGTGACAAAATAGAAAGTTAAGATCTGCCATTCGAACAAGACAAAAAAAACACATGGCCGTCAAGGGTGGTATTTTAAGTGTTTTGCAGGTCAATTTAGCGAAGCGTGTGAAAGCATCCCTTCGTGATCAACTTTCTATTTTGTATACATTAGGTAGTAGGATAATTTTAACATATTTACAAAACTAATACTAGGTGTTCATCAAAATAGTAAAAAACAAATGCGTTTGAATTGTATTCGAACATACTCCCCGCCTTAAAGGCTCTGCCTTTAACCGCAAACAACAGGGTAACTGAGGTATGATGAATCATCAATTGCATTTTTACAATATATCTAAACAATCTAATTCTTAGCGTACGCGACAAACTTAAATCAAAATTTAAAGGAAACATACTATAAAGAAAAATTATTTTATGATTAGGGCTAGTTATCGAGTTTGGGTAGGGGACATAATTTAGTGACGTTTCTTGTTAAAATGCCATTTTTAGATTTTACTTTAACAAGTCTAACATTTCCGTCCTTACTGGGTATAATTTCAAGTACCCTAGCCAGAGGCCAGTCTAGAGGTTTAGTGTTAATTTCCTTTAAGAAAACTATGTCGTTAACTTGAAGGTTTGGTGAGGGGTATAGCCATTTTGGTCGATTCTGGAGAAGATTGAGGTAGTCTTTAGACCATTTGGACCAAAACTGTTGTTGAATTTTGACACATCGTTGCCAGCGATTAAGTCTATTTTCTGAAATATTGGAAAGGTCTTTTTCTGGGAAAGAGGTCAACGAAGTTCCTATCAAGAAATGTCCCGGGGTTAAACAAGTAAAATCTGAGGGGTCAGAGGATAAGGGGAGAAGAGGTCGTGAATTTAATATTGCCTCAATTTGTGTGAGTATTGTATATAACTCCTCAAAAGTAAAATTCTGCTGTCCTGCTAATCGCCTTAAATGATATTTGGTACTTTTGATTCCGGCTTCCCATAAGCCGCCCCAATGGGGAGAATGTGGGGGAATAAACTTCCAGTTTATCTCATTGCATACCAATAAATCATTTATCTGTTCTTGGGTTGACTTAGACTTGAATAGAGTGTAAAATTCTCTGAGTTGGTTTCGTGCACCTAAGAAATTTGTTCCATTGTCACTAAAAATGACATGTGGATTTCCTCGCCTTGAAATGAATCGTTTTAATGAAGCCAAAAATGCTTCTGTAGAGAGACTTGACACCAATTCTATATGTATAGCCTTGGTAACCATGCAAACAAATAATGCTATGTAGCATTTTTCGGTTTTTGAGCGTCTAAGACTCGACGATTTCACAAAAAAGGGGCCACCAAAATCTACACCTGTGCGTGAAAATGGCCGAGAGGGAATGACTCTGTCTTTTGGGAGATCAGCCATCAGCTGTTGATGGTTTTTTATTTTGAATCTACAACATGTCATACATTGCAAGCATTCCTTTTTGATTTCCCTTAATCCATTTAGGGGCCAATATCGGAGGCGAAGATTTGACAAGACAGTTTGAGGACCAGCGTGTCCGAGTCTAATATGCTCTTTAAGTAAGAGTAGTTTGACAACGCGATTTTTTGAGGGCAATAAAATGGGAAATTTTTGATCATATGGGACTAGAGCTTGTGATAATCTTCCTCCTACTCTGATTACATTTTCTCCATCGATAAATGGATTTAATTTTAATATTTGTTTGTCCGATATCTTCCGAGCTGGACTTTTTAACTCGTTTAGTTCTTTTGAGAAATACGTAGACTGAATTGTTTTTATTATGAAAAGTTCAGAGTTTCTTAATTCATCAACAGTGAGAGGTCCAATGAGTTTTTGAGAATTAGCGCGACTATTATTAATAAACCTTAATATAAATGCAATAGATCTTCGTAATTTGGAATAATTGGAAAATCGGTCAAACAGTGTTTCCCAGAAATTATCATTCCTGAGGAGTAAGACAGTACTTTCCTTTCTTTCTTCTTCGTGAGTTGGAGGTACCTTGATATTTAGTGAGTCTAAGTCGAAATCAAAGGTTTGTAGAAACTGTGGTCCATTCCACCAAAGAGAAGAGTTCATTATTTGCTCAGAAGTTGTACCACGAGAGAGGCAGTCAGCAGGATTTTCTGCACCAGGGATGTGCCGCCAAACATAATTATTAGTGAGAGATTGGATCTGCGATATTCGGTTAGCAACAAACACATTGAATCGTGAAGAATCAGCCTTTAGCCATGCTAGAACAATCTCTGAATCTGTCCAAAGATTCACGCTATGAAAATTATACCTATCCTTAAATATGGATTTGACACGACTAATCAAAGTTGAAAGCAATAGAGCACCACAGAGTTCTAATCGGGGTATTGTAACTTCCTTGATTGGAGTTACTCGAGATTTTGAAGTAATTAAGTAGCATGATACAGAATTATCAAGGTAAATAGTTCTCAGGTAGACACAAGATCCAAAGGCCTTGCGACTGGCATCACAAAATCCATGAAGTTCAACAGAAGATATCTGGTTATCGTGGAATATATACCGGGGTATTTTTAAACACTTGAGTTGAGTAATATTTTGAAAATAAGAATTCCATATTGTGAGAAGACTATCGTTCAAATATTCGTCCCAGCCAATCTTTGCCTTCCAAATATCTTGCATGAATATTTTAGCATTAACTATTATAGGGCCAATTAATCCTAATGGATCGAACATTTGCGCGATTTTTGATAAAACATCCCGTTTAGTGGCTGATGTGCAAATTGCAACATCGGGTAGCGATATAGAAAATACGTCAGCTTCTGAATTCCATGAAATACCTAGAACTTTGTTTGAAACTCCTTCTACTTTAATGTCATATGCCTGTACGTCGGAGGATACATTAGAAGAATTAACGATTTTTAAAAGAGAATTCGAATTTGAGCACCACTTGTGCAGCTTGAAATGCGCGCCTTTGCATATTTCGTTCAATTGAAAATACAGGTCTTTTAACTTATCGAGAGTGTCTTGACCACACAAAAGATCATCAACATAGCACTGTGAGAGGATTGTGTCAGCGGCAAGAGGGTATTCTTCCTTATTTAAGAATGCCAGCTCGTTTAGAACACGAGTGGCTAAATATGGAGCGGAGTTAGTACCATAAGTCACTGTTTGCAGCTCAATACATTGAAAATCATGAGCGGGATTACTACGCCAGAGGATATTTTGCAAGTATGTCTGACGTGGGTTCACTCGGACCTGTCTGTACATTTTCTCAATGTCGGCAGTGAGGACGAATTTGAAGCTTCGGAATCTCAGCAAAATATCATAAAGATCAGGTTGAACTGTGTATCCTTTGTACATTGTATCATTTAATGATAATCCTGATGACGATTTCATAGAGCCGTCAAACACTACTCGCAATTTCGTACTTGTGCTTTGTTCGCGGATAACACAGTGGTGGGGTAGAAAATATTTGTTATGGCCGTGAATGTTTTTTAATGAGAGAGGAACGACTTGCGCGTGTCCTAAAGAGAGATATTCATCAATAAAATTTTTATATTCCTGAAATAAATTTGGATTTTTTTCGAATCGCCTTTCTAAATTAAGGAATCGTTTTTTGGCGAGAAAGAATGATTCTCCCAGAGGAAATAATTTTTCAGGAATTTTGAGGGGAAGATTCACTTGAAAAGAACCGTCATTCAAAATAACGGTAGTTTCGCGAAAATTAGTTTCCACAAAGTTATTTTCTGGAGATAAAATTTTCTCCGAGGATTGAGGGCAGTTCTCCATGTTCCAAAATTTTTCCAACAATGAATCAAGAGCAAGATCTGAATTCCGAGCAAGAAGACAGCTGCGGTTGTTGGTGACATCAAATATAGCCTGTGTTGAGAAAGTATCCGGAGGAATTAGGCCAGACAAGAGATATCCAAAGTGTGTTCCAACCAAAGTGAGGGAGTGTTCATTAATTTTTAATAGGTCACCTGATAAAATCTTATAATAAATATCAGCACCAAGTAACATATCTACACAAGCAGGTTGATCAAACTTAGGGTCAGCAAGTTCAATGCCTTGAGGGATCTGCAAGTTACTTTGTTTTACTCGAACTCGAGGACTGACATCAGTAATTTTATTTAAGATGCAACAATTTGCATCGAGAGAGAAATTTCCTATCAACGAGCATAATGTAAGTCGAATTACTTTGCTCGTGTGTTCAATTTTTCCCCCAATTCCTGAAATTTGAACGTTTTGAGTTTCCGGGGTATGATTGAGCATTTCCAACAGTCGTTCAGTGATAATGGATATAGTGCTGCCAGAATCAAGTATGGCTCTGGCAGTAATGGTATGTCCATTTTTGGCAACGATGTTGACAAGGGCTGTTGCCAACAATACTTCGTTATCTTCTTGTGTAAAAACAGTGAGTGTTTGGTGACTATTAGTGGTTTGCTGGGGTAGATCATTGGGGTTTGTTTGGGATGGCTGCTTAGGTTCAGGGGGTTGAGAAGTAGAGTTCATGCCTTGGTTACTCTGACGAGCATTGTTTTGAGAATTGTTCTGTTTGAACCTTTGAGTGGGGTGACTAGCAGAATGCAGCAACGAGTGGTGTCTTTTCTTGCATACTGAGCAAGACAAGAGTGACATGCAGTCACGAATATGATGTTTCGAACCTAAACAGTTTATACATAATTTGTTCTGATAAACAAAATCACTTCTTCGGTTCAAGGGCAATTGAATAAACTGTGAACAAGAGTAAATTCTGTGAGTGGGTAATTTACAAAAAATACAATTAGTGGGCCTAGAGGTTCCAAATTTATTTGAGATATCGTGGGATGAGTGAGTGTGGTGAGAATTAATTTGGCCATTACCACCTGGCTCATTGAATCCTTGAGCAAGGTGAGTAGCCCTATAGAAGCTACTATGGGCAGGGCCTCGAGGGGGACCGGTTTGAGTGTGAGGGGATATTTTGGGTTCTGAGAGGTCTTCCAAAACAGAGCAGCGTGATTCAAGGAAACTGAGTAAGTCATCTAGTTTTGGAAAGGTACCTGATGTAGCCTTTGATATATGTGCCCCTCGCTCAGCAATGTACGCCTTCCGCGTGCCATAATCTAGTTTTTGGGAAAAAATGTAAATGAGTATTAAATCCCATTGGTCTACTGGGATTCCTTGAGTTTTGAGAGAGTCGAGATTTTGTTTTATTTTTACGATAAAATCTCTAATAATATGAGCATTTACCTTAGTGAGAGAGGGTATGTCAACTAAATTCTTAATGTGCGAGAATATTATTGACAATTGATTATCATAACGTTGTTTCAGGGTTTCAATGGCAATATTTAAATTTGAGTCAGTTAATTGTAAAGTGTCAATGAGGTGTAGAGGCTCTCCTGATAGGTATGATTTCAGGTAAATTAACTTTTCTATATTTGAAAGCATATTGTTGTTAACGATAAGCGTATTAAATAATTGGTAGAATGCATTCCAACTAGTGAGGTCTCCATTAAACCGAGGAATATGCAATTGAGGCAGATTAACGTTAGGTTTTTGACCCTGATGATTTGATACGGGTACTGATGCCTGTTGAGTTTGCGATTGAGGCGAGAGCGTTATAATTTTACCCCTTAACTTTGCTCGACATGAGCAATACTTATCATCTATGTCATCCTTGTCTTGGCTGTTGGAATCTATGTTCATAATTTGCATATTAACGGCTTCATACAGCGTGAAAGCTTGGGTTAAGCAATCTAACCTAGCTTCAAATTCCAAATAATCGGTTTCTGTGGTTGCGTTTTTATTATACCAATTTATAATTTTCGATATTTTTCCTTTATAAATTCCGCGTTCTTTAACCAAAGCTTCCAAACTTGCAGCCATTTTTTTTTACCAAGGCACGACAACTATTATAAATAAAAAAAACAATTTAGATAGCTCGCTATTACAATAGTTAGAATACCTGTGGGTTAGTGACGTTATATCTAGAAAATTTAGATGACAAAATGACCTACAATAAATTTAGAAACAATTAATTTACTAATCTAGTAGAGAAAGAGTTATTCTGAGTAACTTACTACAATATCAACTTATATGGGAGGCTAGCAGTGTAAATCTAGTGCGAAAATAACAACAATAAAAAAAATGAGGAAAGAGAGCAATATAATATGGTTTATATGATTTTCTTCGGGAGAGAGTCTCTAAAAAAGTTTATAGTCTATCGAGGACGAGATAATAGAGATTGTGGAGAATGGAATCCTGTTGAGACAATTTGCAAGACTACTTGTCTTACCTGGGATACTTCCAGCTTACACCTATCTCTTTTTAGCACACTATCACACACACGCGTTGTAGTCGAGTTACACTGTCACACACTCATCACTTCTTGTAGTTGTTTTAATGTCCAAAATACTGTCACTGTTTGAATTACCCTTTTATTGGAGCACTTCTACTATTGTGAGTTTTTTGTAAACATATACCATCACTTAAGGACCTTTTAAAGATCCGGCTCGAAGGACCAGCTTTTGTATCGGTACTACTGCTTGAGAGCACCAAATCCAAAATTGAGAGTAATATTCAAATTACTCTCGAATGTGTAATTAATTTCAAAGTGGACCAGTACACGTCGCAAAAAAAAAACTACTAGGGTCAACAACAACACGTATATTGGCAAATGATAAAACTTTAAAACGGTAAATCAAACTGAAATTGAACAAATTCACTGCAGCTTCCCATTAACTTAAAGGTAAACTTGATATATAAAATACCTACAATAAATAGGTGAGAGAGAGAAATAACATTGCCTAACTGAGGCGAGAGTAATATTGCGAGAATTAGCGAAAAATGTACAATTCAGAGACTAAATTAATAGGCGTGATGCTGCCTGAGAGGGTTCACGGGCGTCTCTTCGTGACAAAATAGAAAGTTAAGATCTGCCATTCGAACAAGACAAAAAAAACACATGGCCGTCAAGGGTGGTATTTTAAGTGTTTTGCAGGTCAATTTAGCGAAGCGTGTGAAAGCATCCCTTCGTGATCAACTTTCTATTTTGTATACATTAGGTAGTAGGATAATTTTAACATATTTACAAAACTAATACTAGGTGTTCATCAAAATAGTAAAAAAAACAAATGCGTTTGAATTGTATTCGAACAGTAGCTTAAAAATTACATCAAACGACATCAACCAACCTCGAAACCAACTTAACTAAATTAGAAATAAAAACTTAACATTTGCAGTTGCAATTGCCTATAAAAACATAACACAAAAAATATAACTCATATATATCATTATATAAATATAACTCATATATATAATATATTCAGCAATATTATACTAAATAATAAAATAACATATTTAAACTTCAATAATTGCTAATATACATTATAGAAACTTCAAAATAACTTCAGAAGTAAGAACAGTAAGAGATAGCATCACTACTAATTTAGAAGAGTTTGATTTCGACCGCTAGAAAGTAGAAAGTATCAAACGTCTTTTGGACATAACAAAAAATCAAATCAAATCAAATCTTTTTTATTAGGCCCCAATATAAAAAATATACAAAATACAAACCATACTTTGGCTGACTAATAGCCTAATAAGGAGTGCACCGCGATTACAAAACCGATTTGCTGATTGCCAAAGGCATCAGTGTGACACACTCCCTGTAAAAAATAACTAAACAGAATTTCATTTTCAATACAATAACAGACCAACAACAAACAAACCCGTAAGAAAAACAGAGGACCACCGGCAAAGCAAAAAGAAACCCCGAGCGCACAGAACAAAGCGTCTGCAAGACAATTTAGCAATGTTAAAAAGTATAGAAATACAATTTCAACACATACACAAATATTTTCCAAATTTGTAAAGCTGAGCAGTGAGCCAGTCAAAACCATATCAAATTAAAGGCCCGTTCACCACATTTTGCCAAAATAACAAAAGATAAAAGATAAATTTAGAAATAAGTTCTATATTATATTCGATTGTAAAACCAGCAAATTATTCTTAACATATTTATTAAAATAATGTGATTTAAAGCATTTAACACTGATTGGAAGAGAATTCCATAATTGCGGCGCAAGAAAAGAAAACGATTTCTGAAAGCCAGCCGTCCTATGTTGAGGTATTCTGAAACGATATAAGTTTCTTGTTACATGAGTGTGGTCAAAAGGTATAAACAATGATTTTAAATAAGGCGGTTGGCCAGTTTGTAAGATACGGTAGATAAATGTTAACATATGAAGTTTTCGCCTATTTACCATAGACAGAATATTAAATTGATTTAAATATGGCGTAATATGTGTACGAAATGAGATATTATACGAAAATCTCATGCAGGAATTTTGAAGTTTTTGAATGGATCTGGCAACTATTTGAGTCAATGAAGAGTCGTATACCACATCTCCGTAATCAAACAAGGACAAAATTAGCGAATTGCACAGATAATATTTTGTATTCTGAGGAAGATGTTTCTTAAAATAAACCAAACCTTTTAGTCGCATATATGCAATTTTCAATTTATTTTTTACATGTATATCAAATTTTATATTAGAGTCAAAATATATAAAAAAAATGTGTTATTACCGAATCCCGAAAGTATCGAAAGAACCGGGAATTAGTAATTTCGAGTCCCGGTTCTTTGATGTCTCATTGGTACCGGGATTTCCTAACCGGAACTTCCTTAAGGTAAGTCGTTTAATCCTTAATTATACTTCTATTGTACACGTCCTCCTAGATCACCCTGTAGATGTTTAAAGATATATACAGGCGATCTCCAAATCATATAAAGTCAAATCAAATAAAGTAAAATTTTTTAACAAACATATTATGTTTATTGTAAATACATATAGTCGCAAAGACTACAACCAAACTAGAACAACAACCACTAATACGAAATTACTTCATACATTATTTAGTATATGCCACCTACCTAAGTACACATCCAACCAAAAAAATGTCAGAAATCGGGAAAATCTGCCTCCAACAAAAGAAAACGTACAAACTATAATTAACCCCTTACTCGCCCCGAAAGACCACCCCCATTTTTCACCCCTAAGTCAAATCGATCTTTTTCTCTAACGTGTAAAAGTACAACGACCTGGCCAGGTCTTTCAACTCGCGACATTTTAACATATTGGGAAATTATTGTTGTTACTGGTGTTAGTGTGTTGCAATTGGACATCGTTACGCAATAGGTAGATAGACTCAGAGCGACAAAAAGTACATCATTATGACCAAAATTAGTACATCGTACCGCCTATAACAGTGAAGTGAAGTTGTTTGCCACTCTCGTAGTACGGATAACCTGATAGACCCATTGAAACCAATCAATTGTTCTCTATATTTTTGTTGTTTATTACTTTTGAGAATTTGTTCTGAGATATTTATTTTTATTGCCTTTAGGGTATTGAAAACATAATTTAGGAATGCATCCTGTAAAGGTCCGTCCAGACTTGAACATTTTAGCCTGAACGAACCGAACGCGCAGTCGGGACTATGGAGTGTATGGATATATAGTGTATGGAGGTAAGGATTGTGCATTAAAAATGGCCATAAAAAAAGGGAAGACTAAAGCTGGCGCTGCTCTAGCAAAAACCTAAAATTTAAAATATGCGCCGAAACATTTTAGAAGAGGAAATGATTCAAAAGAGATAAATATTTGACGTGAAGGCGCGAATTTCAAAAAAAATACAAATTTAATTTTCATGTCACATGAAATAAATTATCGATTTTTAGAAAACCTAGGTAATATCTAGGCAGTGGATAAATGTGTTCTGATGTAATGCTATGTTACAGTCCATAATAAGAATATTTGGATTTTCGAGACATATTAATATTTTGTTATCTAATCTAGTTCAAACCTTATTTAACTCTTCTCTGCGCTCTCAGTAATTTTTAGCAAATTCATTTTAGCAATATTTTAAACAACAATTTAGACTTGGCTTTTAGTCCGTCCCCAATTCAAACCAAGCATAGATATGTTTTCTCCATCTCCATCAACCGCAGAGTTCGCGTCAGATTCGTCTACCTTTTTACAAAGGGTAGCTCGAAAAATATTGCACCGGGGCAAAAATATTGCACCCTAGTTGTCAATTTACGCTACCGTATTCTTAGTATACATTTAGGTCGAGACTATTTAAATTTACCTAATGCTATTCATTCTTTTTTCTGCTGCCAGTCATATTTATTAGTTATTAATAAAAGAATAGTTGGTAAAGCTATACAGGGTGAGTCCTAAATAAGTGCAAATATTTTCAGGGGTGGTATATTTCAACCCCAGGAACACGTCTATGAGGGTTTTTTTTTTGCATAAAAGATGTTAAAAATCGAGCATTTTCTTTTAAATTTTCCTGTATATTTTAGAAAACTTTTAAGAACTTCCTGTTCACTGCAAATTTTCCCACGGTATAGTTTCTTAATCTCTGATATTACGGCACTAACAGAGATGCAAATACCAAAAAATTGAAGTGGCTTAATTTTTTTTTAAAATAAATCTATTTTTTTAATTTCTAAATTTTAATAACTCGATTGGGCTTATTTGAAACTCGGTAAAGAGAATATATTATGTTTATTTTATTGAGATCTACCAGCCCTGAAAATATTGGCACTTATAGACTCACCTAGTATAATAAAAATTTCCAAAGCGAACAAACAACAGATGATTATTAAAATTATAAGTGTCCCAGAGAAAGACATTTTACAATAGTTATTTTACAAATTGGTGTTTATGTTTAAAAGCAACTGACATTATACTGATACAAATCGATTAGTTAGTTATAGTGTCACTAAGGATTTTACGTCACTTTAATTAGAAGATTGACCATTTAATTTTTGCTAATCCAATCTTTTTTTGAGCTCTGATCGGGACCGGCCCACCGGAC